CCTGTCTTGTTCTATTTGCTTCTATTCAGCTTCCTTATTTCTGTCTGCCTGACAAGAATTTTCCCACACTCCATGAGACAGAATTAGACGCATGCCCTTCTGTACTCACCTGAAGGTTTATTCATTTCTGTTAGAGCTTGTAAAACTCTGTTTAGCTATGTTTTATGTGTGTGTGTGTATTTCACTTCATGCCGCTAATACAACACTTTGAGTTCCTTAGGGTTTATGCTATGTCTTATTCATTTTTTTAAACCTCTTCTAGCTAGTGGTGTATAGTGTCAGGCACAGTGACATTCAATAAGTATTTTTTGAATGAAAAAATAGTTCATTTGTATTTAAATTTTGTTATCACATTTTGAGGGGGGATCATGGAACATTTTCCAGGATACCAAAACTCACAGCCAGGGTATATGTTAATTTGTTTGCTTGTCAATTTCAGCTTCTCATTGATGTATAATATATGTGCATAAGCTTGCACAAAGTGTGTACATCTTGTTCAAAAAATGAATACACTTGTGTAACTAGCACCCAGATGAACAAACAGAACATTATTATCAGGACTCAAAAATAACCCCCTTGAGCCCCATTCCAATCATGTACTCTCAAGAATAACCACTATTCTGACTTCAAATTAGTTTAGCCTAATGAGATTATACAGCGTGATTAGTTTTGTGAACTACTTTGAGTCCCTCAACGTTTACTCTCATTGGTATAGATTATTCCATTATATGAATACACCATAATTTATTTATTCTTGCCCTTTGGCAGTCAATATGAATTTTACAATCACTTGTCAATTTCTACAAAAGAAATTGCTACAATTTTAACTGGAAATGCATCAGTAGATTAGTTTGGGGAGAACCAATATCTTTTACCACATTGAATTTTCTGATCCTTCAACATGGTATAATACTTTGTTTATTTAGATCCTCGATAATGTGTCTCAATAATATTTTGTAGTTTTCTGTATGGTGGTCTAACATCTTTCCTTAGAATTATTTCTAGCTGTAGGATGCTTTTCATGATATGGTAATAATACTTTATTTTCCTTTCGTAGTTGCAATATAAATATACCAATTATTTTTATGTTTACCTTGTATGAATAATTTCACTTGTTAATTCTAAGTTTGTAGATTTTTGAATGTTCCATGTGCACAATCGTGTTATTTACAAATAATAAGAAGTTCATTTATTTTTCACAACTTTGTGTCCTTCTTGTCGCCTTATTGCCCTGGCTAGGATCTCCAGAATAATCCTGATTAGAAGTGGTGATGGTGAGTCTCAGTCTCATTGTCCTGTTCCTAATCCCAGAGAAAAAACTTTTTTAGAAAAGTTATTTTTTATATAAATAAATGTATTGTCATTATAGAAAATCTCCATAACATAAAAAAATAGAAAAAAATATCTTAAATTCTATCACCCAAAGTTAAAAATTTCAGAAAGACACTACAGACAAGTTACTAGAATTTAAAAAAATAAAATTATTTATACAAGGTAAATAAAAAGGACACGGTTTTGACATTTATTTTTTCACTTAGAAATATTCTATGAACTTCTCTAAATATTAAAATCAATATATATTAAACTTTTAATTGTTTATTGTTGGGCATTTATGCTGTTTTCAATCTTTCACAAATTATAAAAGATATTGTGTTAAAGGTAAGATGTATAACTTTGTACATTTGTGTATATTGATATTCATGAGTTAATTTTGAAAGTTTATATTTTCTAGAAACCATTTTGTGCATAGTTTAAAATCTCTTGACATAGATTTATACATAGTAGTCATTTAAATTAACTTCTTTCTTCATTCTTTTATTAGTTTTTACATGTATCAAAGTACTACCTGCACACAGTATAAAATGTCAACAAATTTTACAATGATGGTCATGACAACTATTAGTTGCCTACCTCATCTAATTTTTAGAATTGATGGAAAACATGAATTTTCAAATTTAAGAAGGCAAATGAGTCCCCAGTAGCACTAGTTATAAACAATTCAGAGCTGGGCTCATACTAGTAAAACTAAAGAACACCAAAGGCAGAGAGAAGATCTTAGAATCAGCCAGAGGTAGGAAGGTATATGTTATTTAACCTGATAGAGGACTTCTTAGCTTAGCAATAAGGACTAGAAGAAAGGGGTCTTTGAAGTGCTGGAAAAAAAAAAAATGTCAACCTGGAATTCTATACTCAAACTACCTAACATTCTCTAGTAAGGACAATCCAAAACAATTCTCAGAAACTAATCTTACAATTAAATAATAGGAGGCAATAAGTAATGGTGAACACGTGAATTAGTAAACCCGTGGGTCACTAAATAACCATTGACTATAAAAAAGTAAATCTTACTAAAGATGTAGATGTTAATGATGATGGAAAATTTGTGGTGTATAGATAATCTCAGACAAAAATAACATGTTTGAGATTTGATTGGACTGTAAAATTCTACTATCTTTGATCTCAATAGTTTAGGTTTATAAATTATCAGTTGAATTTTGTCAGTAAGTATGAAAGTTTAGAGTTAACAACAAGAAGATAAATAACTCAATCAAAAAATGGGCAAAAAACTTTAACAAATATTTCACCAAAGAGGATATTTAAGCTCCAAGCAAGCACATGAAACATTGCTCAATGCCATAAGCCATTCGCAAACTTAAAAACTAAATCCATTGCCGTCGAATAGATTCCGACTCATAGAGACCCTATAGGACTGCGCAGAACTTCGCCATAGGGTTTCCAAAGCTGTAATCTTTATGCAAACAGACTGCTACATCTTTCTCTCACGGAATGGCTGGTCATTTTGAACCTCCAACCTTTCGGTTAGCAACTGAGTGCTTAATCAAAACTACAATGAGATACCAAATAGCTGTTGACCCTTTGGTTTTATATATATACATTGTCATGAGACTGTAAGTTGTTACAACCACATTGGAGAGCAACTTGTCAGCTCCTCTTTCTGATGTCCAGCTGAGAGACTCTTGGATAAATGCACCAGGATGATTGCAATTTTTAATTCGTAAGAATTAAAAAGTAGAAACTATTTATTGATAAAGGACTAGAACACTAACACATTTATTCACGTGAGTTAACAAAATATAACTTTTCACTATAGAGGAATTTCATGTAATGCTGAATATAAAAACTTGAAACTGATTGAAGTGTACACATGCAAGAATGATGCCTAGGATGTAATTATTGTTAAATGCAAATAGAACCATATATAGTTTAGCTATATGCATATATACAAACACATATGAAATTTATGATGATATAAATGGAAATAGCACATAGTAATTTTAGTATGTGGGATGAGATAAAAGCAAATTAATTAGTGGGGTGGTGGAGGAGTATGATTGTATCTATAAGATTTTATTTTTAAAAAACGAAAGATATGAAGCAAATAGGACAAAATGTTAACATTGGTGATGATAAAAAACAAAACAAAACATTGCCATCGAGTCAATTCCAACTCACAGTAAGGACAGAGTAGAACAGCCCCATAGAGTTTCCAAGGAGTGCCTGGTAGATCCGAACTGCCTACGTTTTAGTTAGCAGCCATAGCTCTTAACCACTGCACCACCAGGGTTTCCTTGGTGATGATAGGTACATAAATGTCCACTGTATTCTGTACTTTTCTCCAGATTCAAAATATTTTATTTTTAATATTTTTAAATTATGATACTGCATATTGTATACCCTATGCAGGGTGAGATAGATATTTTCTTTGAATTTGTAGCATGTAAAATAAAATAATTGGGACTTGTGCACAGTTTTCTGTACATCAGCCACTGTGATTTCATCTACATTGCAATTGACGTGCAGTAAAGGGTAAATGAAAAAGTCTAACATTCAGGAAATACAGATTTTTGTTGGTATTTTAGCTAAATTTTTTATCTCTTTGAATTGCCATAAATAGGACGACATAGCTGCTGCTGCCTCTAAATGTGAGCTTCCTCAGACATAGAGATTTTTAAATGGCTCTGGAAGATGTCTGTATATCTAATTGATGGGTTTGAAAATGTTATAAAGGAAGAGGTTGGTATAATGCGTTTCTCCCTCTGTGTTGCGATTTCAAATACTATACTTTTTTCTGAAAATAAAATTTATAGAAAGAAATACAACATTAGATCAGATCATTCAGATGCAAGTAGAAAAATATGCTTCTGATGTAAAACTCATCGTCTTTGCAAGCAATTTTCTCCCGATATGGATGCTACCACCTAGTGGGGCATTTTAGGAACAATGCTGGCACGTATATTAAAAATCTGACTTTGATTAGCTTAAAAATAAAGCTATGTGAAACTTGTCTTTGCTTTGTGTTTGTGAGAAAGTTCTGAATTATAAAAAGATATGCCCGTTGGAAAAGGAATTGTCTTTAAATAGATAGCCCAGCATGTAGCTTAGCCAGTGATCTGTCTGCTTTCGTGACAGACGGAAGTAGCTTCTGCTATATTCTAATTTACACAAGTGAGTTAACTTCTGTGAGCCTTGATGTGGTTATGCTTAATGGTCAGATAATAGTAAGGTACGTTTTGGTGGGGTTTTCTGAACACTAAAGGAGCTGCTGTACATTAAAAATCTAGACTTGGCAGTACTCAATAAGCAGGAAGTATTATTACATGTGGGGTCATTGGTGGTTCAGAGGTAGAATTCTTCCTTTCCTTGTGGGAGACCCAGGTTCGATTCCCTGGTAATGCACCTCATGCTCAGCCAACACCCATCTGTCAGTGGAGGCTGCGTGTTGCTATAATGCTGAGCAGGTTTCAGTGAAGCTTCCAGACTAAGATGGACTAGGAAGAAAGGCCTCGTGATCTGCTTCTGAATATCAGTCAGTGAATACTCAATGGATCACAGTGGTCCAATCTGCAACCAATCGTGGGGATGGTGCAGGACTGGGCAGAATTTGTACATGGGGCCATGAGTCAGAGGCTGACTCTGCAGCAGCTAACACAACAGTTATTATTATGAGTAAGTGTATAACCTGTGTTCTCTCTCTGTAGCCTTCATTTCATCGTTTTTGACACTGAGATGGCGCACGATATCCTCAAGGTCTGGGATGGGCCAGTAGACAGCAACATCCTGCTGAAGGAGTGGAGTGGCTCTGCCCTTCCTGAAGACATCCACAGCACCTTCAACTCCCTCACCCTGCAGTTTGACAGTGACTTCTTCATCAGCAAGTCGGGCTTTTCCATTCAGTTCTCAAGTAGGTGGAACAGCTTGCTTCTTGTAGAGCTTGATATCAAATTTGACCGTTAAGATAGAATTGTATTTGTTTTCTTAAGTCTCCCCTTACATCCTTTGCTGTCCAGTCGATTCAGACTCATAATGACCCTATAGGATACAGAAGAACTGCCCTATAGGATTTCCAAGGAGCAGCTGGTGGATTCGAACTGCTGCTTAGCAGCCAAGCTCTTAACCAGTACCGTAACCAGGGCTCCATGTCTCCCTTTAAAAGGATGAAATTCATGTTGAGCATAATTTGAAACTTTAAAAAATGTGTTTTCAAGAGAACATTTTCTCTTATGAAATTCTGTTTATTATCAGAGAGGGATAGGCAATGAATGTCTGCGTTTATATGAAAAACTATTGCTTAGAAGTTTCAATAGTAAATATCGAAACTTGGGTCCATGACAGATGTGGGTCTCTATGTGAATGTAAAGTCTATCTTTGGTGCTTGCTTCAAGGCACCAACACCAGGAACCCTAGTTACCCTAGTTTTACTCTCTGCATGATGAAATCTTCCTGCTACCTGCCTGCTAATCAGACTTGTTTAGATTCTCTACTCTCAACTTCCCTGCTTAGAAAAGCCCTGTATTTTTTCTTTACTCCTCCGTAGAGCTGAGTAAGGTTTCAAGTAGTTAGTGTGGGAATGTAATCCCTGCTGAATTACATTTGCACATTTGAAGTATTATCTCCTGAAGGTAGTACCCATCTCTGCTGTCTAACCCATTGTTGATGAATGGTTTCCTAAGTAAGAAGGAATGGAGATACTTGGTGGCAGTTCAATCATTTAGTATCTTTCAAATTGTACCATGTAGAGATATTATATAATTTGGGGACATACAGGGTCAGTCATGGTCATAAAACAAGTAGAATTTGCACATAAACACATTCAGACATAATTTATCTCTTGGCAGGTCACTGGTAAGTCATATTTAGGATTTACGTAAGAAAATTGACTTAGGTCAATTTAATGCTTGAAAATATTGCTAATAAAATTGAGGTTATAGTCCACACAATTTCTTAACTCTGGTCTCACTGTGCTTTGAGGCAGTGATTTGCAAACATGTGTCCGTGTAATACCTATCTGTGGTTAAATTTTTGCTGCTCTATGGCACCAATATCAAAGTATCCAGACTTGAAAGAAATGTCTTTTATTTCAATATTGTATCATTTTTCCTCTTTGTTGTTAGATAAAAACATCCTTTCTTACATAAAATGGGGATGAGAGTAGATGGTCGAGTTGCTATTTACCCTTCTTGGTAGGAAAATCAAAACACTGGTTAGGCTAAGAGGTTATGTTAGTTTTTCTCCCCCACCCTGTTTTATCTTCTGGCCCTCCCCCTGGTCTCTTCCTAAAAAAAAAAAAAAAATCTTATAAATATCCAGAAACTATTTTTTTTTCTACGTTCCTTCATTGCTTTCTTTTTTCCAAACTAGACATCTTCCTAGTTTGGGTAAACTATAGTTATTTGAGAATCATAGGCCTTCCTCTTCTCCTCATATAAATAATTGATATACTGAAGTCTGGCAGTTGATAAACATGGACACACCCATAAGAGGTCCTACAAGACAGAAACTTGCTTAATTTTATTTAACTTGGAGTTTTCTAAATGTACTGATTTGAGCCATATGAGATTGTCATTTTTATAGGTAAAAAATTATTGAATGTTGGAAATTACATCTGGTTCAACTTAGCATTAGAATATGATTCCCCAGCTCCCTTTCCAAGTTAATAAATCCCTGAGTCTTATATGTGTACATTGGGCAATACCATTTCAAGGCAAAAATTTAATATTGACTCTGAGTTTGTTTTTTTTTTAAATGAATTTCCACAATATTATATTTAAAACACTATAGGAAAAAAGAAAAGAATTTAAAAACTTTGATTGGTATAATTTAGAAATATATGACCTGGACTAACTAAGAAAATTTAGGTTCCTTTCTTGACCTTTAATGATTTGAGAATGACCTTATATCTCTGGCTTTATTTTTTATTTGTGAAATAAAGATATTGGACAAATTTCTAAGGATCTTTCATTTCCAAAGTTCTACAGTCTAGTGTCATATGGTTTAAAATTAGAAAAGTTGTGTGTCAGGGGTTGAATCATTTCACTATACTTACTCAATCTGTATGCTGAGCAAATAACCCAAGAAGCTGGACTATAACATATGAAGAAGAATGCAGCAGCAGGATGGGAGGAAGACTAATTAACAACCTGTGATATGCAGATGACATAACCTTGCTTGCTGAAAGCAAAGAGGACTTGAAGCACTTACTGAAGAAGATCAGAGACTACAGCCTTCAGTATGGATTGCACCTCAACATAAAGAAAACAAAAATCCTCACAACTTGACCAATACGCAACATCATGATAAACAGAGATAAGACTGAAGTTGTCAAGGATTCATTTTACTTGAATCCATCATCAACATCAATGCAAGCAGAAGTCAAGAAATCAAATGACATGAATAAATATACGCACAGCCATGTTTCTTGCAGCATTATTCACAATAGCCAAAAGATGGAAACAACCTAAGTGTCCATCAGTGGATTAATGGATAAACAAAATACATACAATGGAATACTACACAATGGTAAAGAATAATGATGAGCACGTGAAACATAACATGCATGAATCTTGAAGACATTATGTTGAGTGAAATAAGTCAATCACAAAAGGACAAATATTGTATGATATCATTTTTATAAAAAGTCAAGAATAGGTTTACACACAGAAAGCAACATTTTTGATGCTTTGCAGGGATGAGAGAGGAAAGGAAGGAGAGTCGTTTTTTAGATAGTAGACACATATTAATACCCAATATAGGGGAAGTCGGCATACCATGTCCAAGGTAAGTGAAGACACTGAGAAGTACACAAGAATAAAGGACAACTATGACAAATGCTATAATAAATACAATCCTGCAACAACAGTAATAGCAACTAGAAATTTGTGACTGCGTACATAGGTAGATATGTATGCTATATAGGTGAGGGAGGGCATATAGGAGTACATGCACATGCATATATAGGTTTAGCTATGGCTATTTGCAAATACATATTTGTATGTGCTACATATATATTCATATATATACATATATATATGAGAGCACCTAGGGGGCACAGTTATGGAAACTTCTTAGACACATTCAAGCACCTGGTGGGACTGAGTTACTGGGCTTGAAGGCTAAGGGCCATAGTCTCAGAGGACATCTAGGCTAATGAGCATAACATAGTTCGTAAAGATAATGTGCTACATCCTAATTTGGTGAGTAGTGGTCTGGGGTCTTAAACGCTTGCGAGCGGCCATCTAGGATACAACTATTGGTCTCTTCCTGTCTGGAGCAAAGGACAGTGAAGGAAACTAAAGATTCAAGGAAAATATTAGTTCACAGGACTAATGGCCCACATAAGCCACAGCTTCCTCTAGCTTGAGACCAGGAGAACAAGGTGGTGTTCTTCTACAACTAAGGACCTCTCTGCCCAGGGATACAATAGAGGGTCCTGGTTAGAATGGGAGAAAAATGTAGAACAAAACTCACATTCATAAAAAAGACCAGACTTACTGGACTGATAGAGACTGGAGGAACCCCTGAGACTGTCACCCTAAGACACCCTTTTAACCTGGAACTGAAGCCACTCTCGGAGGTCACCTTTCACCCAAATAATAGAGTGGCCTATAAAATAAACAATAACACCTGTGGGGAATGTGCTCCTTAGAACAATTAACTATACAAAACCAATTGGTCAACATTTGCCCAGAAGCAAAGAAGAGAAGTAAGGAGGGGCAGGGAAACTGGAAGGATAGAAACAAGAAAGGCAGGGTGGAAATGAGAAAAATGCTGACACATTATAGGGATAGCAACCAATGTCACAAAACAAATTGTCTACCAATTGTTGAATGGGAAACTCATTTGCTGTGTAAACTTTCACCTCAAACACAATAAGATGTTTAAAAAAAAGAAGAAGAAATCAAGTGACATTCTGCACTGGGCAGATCTTCTGCCAGAGACCTCAAGCGTTAAAAAGCAAATGTGTCACTTTGAGGACTAAGGTTCGCCTGACCCAAGCCATGACGTTTTCAGTCACCTCATATGCATGACAAAGCTGGACATTGAATAAGGAAGACTGAAGAAGAGTTGATGTCCTTGAATTATGCGACGATATGCAGTTATGCACAATAGCAATGATTGAGGAAGGCTCAGGACTGGGCATAGATTCGTTTCGTTGTGCATAGGGTAGCTATGAGTCAGAACTGACTCGACAGCACAGAAAAGCAACAACAGTGTCGTATACTTTCTCTTTGCCCCCCCCAGACTTTCTCTGCCCTTCTGTAATCTGCCCTGTGATCCTAGGGACTGACCTGTTATAGACATGCCCTCTGCCTTCTAATTGGATTCATCCAATGGGGAGCTCTGGCAGATGAAAGGGGCAGGGAGAAAAGTGTATTTATGAACCTCACTCATCTCTGTCAGTTTATCTGGGTTGACTGTTCCTCAATCAAAGGTCACTATGTTTCTTAAGGCAGCCAAATCCGCACATCTAGGTTTCTGTAACTATTGTTATAGTTAGGTGCCGTCAAGTCGGTTCTGATTCATAGCAACCCTATGTGTACAGAAGGAAATACTGCCCACTCCTGCACCACCCTCACAATCGTTATTATGCTTAAGCCCATCTTTGCAGCCAGTGTGTCAGTCCACCTCACTGAGGATCTCCCTCTCCTTTGCTGACCCTCTACTTTACCAAGCATAATGTCCTTCTCCAGGGACCGGTCCCTCCTGATAACGTGTCCAAAGTACATGAGACGAAGTCTCATCACTTCTAAGGAGCATTCTGTCTGTACTTCTTCCAAGACAGGTTTGTTTGATCTTCTAGCATTCCATGTATATTCCCCAGTAACTACGCTCCAACCTGTGATTCCCCAAACCCAACATTTGTAAATAAACTTTCTTAAGTAATCGTACTGTAAGTACACCATA